TATATATATATATATATATATATATAAAATATGAATAATTGTCTGAAATAAGTGAGATATAAGACATTATGAGAATTTGCAATTGTTACATATTATTCAATTTTAATGTAGGGTGAAGCTGGTATTCCAGGAAGGGATGGAGCGAAAGGAGACAAGGGAGAACCTGCTGTTGTTCGGCCTGAAGTATTCCTTGGACCAAAAGGTAAGACTTATAAAAACCTAACTGCTATTCATATTGCAAAGTGAATAAATCCATAATAGATTTCAAAGTTTTAGTAGAGAGAAAGTTAACATGTCACAACAGGCACAAACTGTGGTACTAAGAATTTGTTTGGTTCACAATGAATTCCTGATTATTCAATAGTGCAATATCACCAGGTTAGACTTATGAGTAGAGGATTATGTCATAGCCAATTTCCAAGGAAAGATATCCATATAGGGAGATTGTTAAACAGTGTAGATCCATAGCACAAAACATTTCAAAGAAGGGAGCCTCTTTCATTGTTCTCCATGGAAGCAGGAAACTCACACTCATTTTGGACATACTTATTTCCAAAACCACATGCTAAGCCAGTCTTGAAGAATACCCTCATCTGTAAAATAAAGGGTATGTTTAGGAAAGAGAACCCTTTGACCCAAAAGCCACTGTGAGGGAGCTTAATTTACATTTTTGTACCTTTAGGAAGAAAATAAGTACTGGTTTGAAATTTAAGCAGGTTCCAAACCAGAAGCTCAAAAGCTTGCAGCTGCACTTTGAAATCATAAGAATCCCATTTAACCATACCACTTTAGTTTTCAAGTGTAACTCCAGTTGACTCACTTTGCTTGGTTAATCTGCATAATAATAGTCTTAAAAAGTAATGTTCACTTTGGTGGAAAATCTTGGTAAGGTTTCTTAAGATGTGATCTAAGATTGACCTAATCTCCTCATGTTAGCTTGTTACAATGAATATTGACTTGTCAGGCAATAATACATAATTTTAGACATCACAGCAAGCACAATCAACAATGAAGGAAGTGGTTCTGTGGTATTTACAGGTAAGAATACTAACTACACTAATAAGAGGTTTAGTAAAAAATTTTATTACAGAGTCAATCTGAATTCTAATGCGACTGAATTGATGAAAAAAAAACTGAATACAAAGTTTCATAATAACCAAAACACCTTATACACTTAATAAACATAAGATTTGTAAGCATCAAGATCCCCAATAAAGCTGTGTGCACAGGAATGAGAGACAGTCATATTTGTGTAGCTGTAAAAGCTAGAAAAAATGTATATGACATCCATATTTTGAATCTAAAATCTCCCAAAATGAATTTATTACCCACATTAATTAGCTAACTTATCCCCCACACATATAGAGATATTTTTTTTTTACAAGTCTTTTATGTGTCACCTTGTCAAAGGCTTTCTGAAAATCCTTACCCTCATCTACATAAGCAGTAACCTTTCCAAAGAATGTCAAAAAATTAGTAAGGCAAGATTTTCCCTTAGTGAAACCATATTGACTATCCAATAAAATTCTAAACTTTGTTCAATGACTCACATATTTAATCCTTAACCTCCTTCAAAACCCTTGGGGAAACATCATTTGGCCAGGAGCCATATTGTTCTTTAACTTTCCAGTTTTTTAACAAGCTCAGAATTAATGCAATATTTTGTTTGACATTGTTTTCTTCTATCAACTTTTCAAGATGAGGAATCCTGCTTAAATCTTCATTAGTAAAAAAACTGAAGAAAAAGCAAAATTTAATAACCCATCCATCTCATAACCATTAGATACGAGAATATGTTTGTCTTAAATATGCAAAAAAATTATCCTTAAATATTTTCCACATTTGATCAATGTCTCCAAGTAATTCAGCTGTCCAATTCACAACAGATAATTCTTCTCATATCCCTTCAAAATTTGCTTTTTTTGAAATTTTGTAAACAAAATATCATTATTTGCAATCTCTATATGCAGCAAAACATCAAACCTAATAGAGAAATAATCATTTGTACCCATATGTTCCCCAATTTCCACCCTCTCAACAATTTCTATATTAGAAGTTAACAATAAATCTAAAATAGCATTGTTTCTAGTAGGTTCCTAGACCAATTGGTGAAGAAAACCATCTTGAACAATTTCCAAAAACCTTTCTTCCTCATGGTTTGACTCTAGCATTTCCCAGTCTATATGCCTGAAATTAAATTCACCCAAAATTATGATCTCATTAACAAGTGAAATCTTAATTTCACTGTAAAGTTTCTCACTTATTTCATCAATATCATCTGATAGTCTGTAACAAATTTCCACTAAAAGCCTTTTCCCTTTATATCCGTTAATAGAAACTTAAATAGATTCAATTTCCTTGCTATTATCTTTGATGTAACTCACATTTCACATATAAAGCCACTCCTCTCCTCTCTTTAGTACTCCATCCCTATTAAATACCTCTGTATTTCAAAGAAATTTCTGTCATTAAAATCATCTACATTTAACCATGTTTCAGTTATTTCCATTATATCAAAATCCTCCATTCCTACCAATGCCTTAAAGTCATCTATTTTATTTCTTGTACTTCTAGCATTACAACAGTAACAACTAAACCTATCCTTAGATCTAATTCTATATTATTTCCTATGCTAAACTTTTCTTTACATCTTTTTTTTTTTTTTGTCATTTAGTTTATCCTTGCCCTCACCACTGTCTGGTCCTAATTTAAATCTTTCCTTACAGCTGAGTTAATAGCCCTTGCAAACAGGCCAGACCCTACCTTATTCAAATGTAAACAATCCATTCCCAAAAAGTTCCCTTCTCCCATTGAACTGATCCCACAAGTACATCCAGCCTATCTGCTCATCCTTACTTATTAACCTAAGCCTAACATTTAGCCCTAGTGACCTACTCATAATTTCATCCCTACAATTAATTCTCAGCAGTATCCCTGACACAATTAACTTATGGCATTTTTCTTTATATATCCTTATCAACATCTTGTAATTATTAATTAGTTCCCCTGACCTACCTTTCTCTACATCATTAGCCCCTATGTGCACAACAAAACCAGCATCATTGCTAGCTCCCTTTATTATATCTCTTGCTCTGTAAGTTATATCCTCCACCTATGGCCCTGGGTAGTATAATCTAATTCTGGAGGAGATACAAATGAAATGCTTTAACTGAATAAGAGATGACAGTGAGAGCTGGTTATCTAGTGGTAAGACTTTTGCAAATTAGGATGCAGTTAAAATGAAACTTAAAAAAGGGTTTGTTTATTTGTTTGTTGTCAAGCACAAAGCTACAAAATGGGCTGTTTTTGTGGTTTTTAATATTAAAAAAAGGGAGAAAATAATTGAACAGTATCCAAATGGAGATAAGTTGATTCAAAGACTAGACTTCCACAGCAAGCTTTGGCTCTCTTAAGAAAGATGAACTGAACTTCTCCAGAGTCAGAGCAAATCTGAATAGGAGCATCAAAATTGCATGTACAATTCATATTCTCTTTATAGCTAGCCAGTCGTAAAAAAAGGAGAACAAAATACAGAGGTATCACTGTTTCATGTGATAGTAACAAGGTATCCTCCAAATGAATAGTCAACTGGATTTAGAATGCTCCAACATTAGAACTTTAAAAAATATAAGACTTTTGTAGATAAGGAATACATACTATTTGAGAATAACATATGTAGTATTTGTGTGATACAACATCCAACAGTTCCAAGAGCAGCATTGGACCTAGAATATCATTCTCAGTAGGAAATTAACTTCTACATTTTTAAAATTAAAATAAATTTCAGTCAGGTATTACCTCTGAAATACTGAGAACCTTTACTTGTTGATTGACTCAAAATTTCAGAATGTCATTTATATATTTGCATACAATATATGCCATTTAACCATGATATTCTACTCTCCCATCTTCTGTGTGACTTATTGTGCATGCATCAGTGGATTTTACATAATTTCTGCTTCCCCACCATAAGGTTTGATAGTTGCAATCATAATGACAATTTGGCTGTAGTTAAATGGGAGGGAAGGTATTTCAGAGATAAGTACCTGTTTGAAATGCATAGCAAGACCAGACCTGGAAACCAGTAAAGCATCAGAATATGATGCAGCTATCACAAAATTATCAAGCAGAGGACAAACAATCTATTGGCACAACCCACAAAGTATCAGCTCAGAAAAGAACATGATGTCAATGTATCCACATAATAAAAACAAGAAACAACACACAGAAACCATAGCAAAGAAGTGCTATGAGAATACCATCTAGCCTATTGATATATGTCACCACAGTTGAAATGTCTGTGAGCACAAAAATACTGTAGGAGGATAACAAGAATACAACTTTCCAAAATACACATGAAAAACCCAGATAAGACTGTGTGACAATAGGATAGCCACAACTGAAGAAAAAAGAAGCCATCATTCCTAAATCAGAGAGAACGAGATTGGCAGGTGTACAACTGAAACTCATGAGATGGTAAAATCCTAAGGAAATAGGTGAAAAGTTCAAGAGAGAGAGTAAGTGTAAACACAATATCTTAAATGAACAAGATATTGAGTAGGCACAGACTGGGACCTGGACTTATGAACAGTTCAACCCAAAGAAGAAGCAAACTGAGAAGGCAATGTAGCATGATGCAATCATCAAGCAAAGGTCCTCTAATCATCCATGTAAGAACGACAGTTGATAATGCATATGAGTAGGAGACCAACTATAGGTGTGAACACATACAGTGCTAATCTAGACTAAAAGGGAGGTATATAAGTGGACAGATCACTGCATCTTGTGGAAAATGAAGATGGATTAATCAGTACTTGTATGTAAGAGATAGTTGTCAACCAAAACCTTAATGAAGGAACTGACATGAAATTCTCATAAGTACCACATAGGAATGAAGAACATCCAGAAAACAAATGAGACTGGAAATATCTGTTACCATTTGCTTATGTCACCACAAAGAGATAAGAGTAAAATCCCTGAAGTAATACAACCTTGATGTCCCTTTGGCATGGAAAAGATTTGAAACTTCCAGATCCAAAATCAAATAGTAACTGGATGAGGCAAATCACGAATAAGAAATAGAAAATCAAAGTGAATAATCTGATAAAGCAGAAGGTCCATAGGTAAACAATATTTTGAGATTACTCCCAAAAGTCCATTTGGAGGAATAACCTAAAAAAAAGTAGGAGGTGAGTCATAAAAACCCACTTTGCTTATATCAGTGCTAGGCAACCTAAAAATATGTGTATATGTTTGATAACAAAGCAGTGTAATAGGTTATCTGCATTCCATCCACCACAAGTAAATGAACCATGTATTTCAGCATTGGGAGTCCATAAACTTACCACTGGCTTGTCAGGGAAATGCTATACTAGAAGTATGAATAGATATAATGAGTATTGAACAAATAAACACTACATATATGGCTATAGAAAGGAATGATGACCAAAACCAGATGCAAGAATCCTAATCAACTCATGTTGGTAAGCTCCTCTGGACAGGAAACAAGTGAAAACAAAAGACATACATGAAGCAGATTATTATATTTTTCATCTTCACTTTTTCATGATTCTTTGTTGGAAGTTTGTGCATATAGATAGATAGGTATGATGGAACATGAAAGCTGCATGGTAGTAGAAACAATAGCAGTGTGACCAGTACACTGGTGGTAGGTAATAGAGACATCAAAGTAGGTATTTTAATACTGAGTAAAAATCAAGTGAGAATAACCAATAACGGTTTAGTAAAATAACTATCTCAAGACAGGCCGAACTGTAGCATGCAGGGCAAAAAACAACAACAACTAATGATGGGTTACAATAATATGAGAAAAAGGAACAAGAAGTGTATAAATACAGAGGTAGTTTCAAATACCTTTCCCACTCGAAAATCATGAGAAAGTGGGAGAAATAATTATTCAAGTAAAGAAATCATTTAACATGACACATGCACTGAATCCCAGAGAAGTGTTCAGGATTAGTTATAGCACTATAGTAAACAAAATCATCTCTCTAGACGTGGAAAGTGATGAGGCCCACCCAAGTATGACATCAAACAAAGACAAAGTACAACAAGTGATATGCATCAATTGTATCATAAGATAATGGTAGATATACATGGAATGATCATTACTGAAAATGCATCAACAAAGTTGACCCATGTGCTACAAGCATAAGTATGGCCTTTGGGGAGGGTCTAGAATATTGTACAGCATGGCTATCAGCAAAAGAATCTACCTTATGGTTAGAAAGCAGATTGTATGTAAGATCCACTGATGAACGTTTAATAAGTCACATGGAAGGTGGGAGAGTGGAATATCATGGGTAAATGATTCATAAAGGACATTCAGAAATTTGAGTCACATGTTTTGTTGACAGCATGAGTTCAAACTTAACAAGAAAAGGTTTTCATAGTGAAGTCTTCCTGATTGAATTCATGTTATATTGTAGTATAATATTTTTATGAATCTTCGGAATGGAATAAAACTTTTATCACATCACAGAGTTGGATTTGCTAATTATTTATTTTCAGGAATTTATATATACTTGCAAAGTTCAAAATTATTATTCCAGTGAAACATTTATAGACTTATTTCTCTGTAAATCTTAACATATGCTTACATAGTTCTTTTATGACAAGTAACATGTCTTAAAATATTTTTGAAAGAGTTTTTACTTTTAAAAGTTCTTATAAAATTTGCTAAAAAATAGATTTTATATTATCAGTGTTTTTTCTATCCCTGGTCAATGCACATAGGTGACAAAGGTGATCGGGGTCCATCCGGCCCAGCAGGATTTCCAGGATTGGATGGTCAACCTGGACCTCCTGGACAACCAGGTCAGCCAGGAGTTGATGGGGAGAGAGGCCAGAAGGTTTGTATACTGAACAGCTTTCAAAGTTTACATATGTTTATTTTTGCAAACATCTATGAATTTGACTGATATAAGCAGCATGTATTTGTGGGATAGATTATTTTTAACTAAGGAAAGGGTTAATTAATTTTATTGTTGGAATTACATCTAGTGGTGGACTTATGAACAAAATTAGGAATTTCTTCTAATTATGGAATTAATGAAGGAGACACCATTCAATAGGCAGTGCATTGTTAAAAGAACTAATGTTTTATCTTTTTCAGGATAGGATTTAAAAAGAAATAATACTCCTAAATAAGCACTACAGTAAGAATTACTTCTATGTATAAACCTGTATACTAATAAATATACTTCTTTGAAGAAGTGGGAATAGACTTTTAAATTAAGGAATGAACTAGTAGTTCTTAACTTGTGGCTTACGGAATCAGTTACTCCTAAAAACTTGCAAACTGAGAATTGAATTGATTTATAGTTAGACACGTGACCTGGTGAAGTTATTTCTCTTAGGAGTAAGTTTGTCAATTAATGAAGGAATTATGATTAAGAATATACTTATAAACCTATTCAGATATTACTCCGAGGAATAGATTTCAAACTGATGAAAAAAAAATTGCTGGTAAAAATCTTGTAGGCAAATAAATAATGTACTTCTAAAAGTTGATTTATGAACTGAAGAAGGATCTACACTTAAGAATGGTCTTCAAGTATCTTAATGGAATTTACTTCTTTGCATTCAGATTATTGGTAAATTTTATGGGGTTTTTCAGAAATTATTTGGCTTGAATGATAGGTTTATAGACTTAAGTATTGTTACGTCTCTGTTTGTTAATTAACTTTGTTCCGACGAAACTTTAGCGACACAAGTCCTTACTTAATAAAACTGGTTTATTCTTTCTGAATATAACTTTGCCGATACACTCAACTTCAACAGTTGCGCTATCACAAACTATAATTCACGTAGCACAAGCTAGGCTTCAACAATACGTCTCTCTCCTACTGCAGTTCAATTACTCATTACCTACACACACATTACAACATTCCCTTCACGTTGTCACCCTCTTATATATACCAGACTACCCTATATCTAGTAATCTCCCGACAATTCACGAAGGTACAAGATATTTCCAGAAAGCAGGGGGCGTGACACTAGTCACGTGACCTCGCTGACGCAACAGTATTCTGTGGTAAGTTTTCATCTGGTTATCTTTAATATAAGTTACTGAACAACGAACAGTTTTTAAAATTTTGCTACTCCAGGCTGTATGTCAAAATTTAAGTGTTTTGCAGAAACACCATATTTCTCATATACAGAAGGTTAGTATTTTTTTATTCTTAAATAGAATGAACTTATCACAATAATACATTATTATTTTCTCTTTTCAGAATGCATAGTGAATAATCTCTAATCTAAATAATCATTTATAAATAAATGACACTTATTTCCAGATAATATTTGACATTTTACTTTTGTATTACACCTTCATCAAAGGTTACAGCTCCCATATCTTCTTTTCAGTTATAGCTAAGTTTCATTAGCACATTAAACCCTGATAAAAAATGTAAAATAAAAATGTTGGACTGTAAGTAAAATAAATGTTGTACTTACCTGTAGGTATGAGTAATTTATTTATAAAAATTTAAGTCATGAACTAAGTACTTAATTTAACATCATCTAGTTTTTATATATATTTTTTATATCACTCTTCATTAATTATCTAATAATTTAGGGTTCTCCAGGCTATCCTGGACCTCATGGAAGGCCTGGTCCAGAGGGTCCAGTTGGTGCCCCTGGTTTGAAAGGCGAACCTGGCATTGGAAGACCAGGACTACCTGGAGAAAAAGGTGATAGTGGGGAACCTGGAAAATCTGGACGTAAGGGTGAAAGAGGGCATAAGGGTGAACCAGGTATTGTAACTAGTGTGGCAGTTGAAAACTGCCAAATTTTTCTCTTCCATAACTTGAATTTTTTCAGGTTTATTTTTCAAAACATTTTAAGTAACTTTGCTTCATTTAGTCAAAGTCCTATTGAACAAGGTATAGTAGTTATGAATCTGCTGAAATCGTCTCCTTAAGCCTAGGTTACTTACCACAGGGGCCATCTGAAAGAGCTTGTACATGCTTAGCTGTTTTTGAATTCATTAACACGGCCATCTAGAGGAAGCAAATAAAACATTATATTCACTAACCTTCAAATCATAATAACTTTAGACAAGGTTTCATGTTACAGTGGTGTGATCACCTGATATCCTTGTGTCGTGACACAAGTAGATTGCAGGCTTCCACACAGTTGTGTGAGCTATCTGCACTGTTTTTATGTGTTTTGTAAACTTTCTTATGACCATCACTGTATAGTATGAGTGATCATTGGCATATGTAATCTAAGATCATGAGATACTGCAATAGGGCTTTAGTCTGTGGTATGATCGTAATCCTGCTGTCGTTTAGAAGGTAAAGTTGTATTCCTTCCACTGTAAGAGGTCAAGATGAACTTTGAAACAATATAGTAAGACCCCAGCTTATTATGTGTATGAAGTAGAATAAATATTTTGTTTCTTTGTTTTACATTTGTATTCAAATCTTTCTTTTGCTATTCATGTTAATTTCATTCTTCTGTAATATGCAAACACTTTCTTTGAAGCTCCTGTCAGTTTATAATTTTACCTGTGAATAGTACACTAGGTCCATTTTAAAATTATGCTTGCATTCTATATGAAACTTCATATGATACTGATACAAAACCTTTCTCTAATCTTTAGCAAACTTCCCACAAAATTTCATAAAATCAAAATAACACAGTAATACTTAAACAGAGTAGTAGCTGCATCATACTTACTGTCCTTCAGAAGTAATGCTAATCTGTAACATACTCTCGCATATGACAATGATTCACATTGAGCTCAATCCTGTATAATATTAATATTGTTGATTTGTTTTTTACGTAGATATATAAAGTAATGTAAACATGTGCCATCCATGTATACTGAACTTTAACATATATATATACTTAAAAATGGCAAGTGTTTGTGTAACACTGTACAGATTATAACATGTACTCTACAAGTGCCTATAGGTATTATTAGTAGTAATAATAAGTTCTCTGTATTAATGTTTAATGTAAAATTATAAAACACTTTTTTCACGACATAGCACATGTATGTAATTTGTCCAGACTTTGAAAACTGTCTTATGTTGTGTATAATGTTTTAGTAAACAGTCCCCGAGAATACACAAAGTCTCTTTATTGTGCTGAGCTAGTTGAGGCTCATGTTAATGTACATGGGAATCATTACACTATTTATTACAAATACTTAATAACATCTCTATATAAATCCATTCAGATAACAGCTGTATACCATACCATAAAGTACTCTTTACCCACCATTTTGTGTAAATTATTTTCATAGCCCTTTTTCTTTGTACAGTTTGTTAATACTGCACAGTGCAGTGTATTCTACAATAAAACTTTATTCTTCCTGAAAAATCATGTGGTTATGATTTTATTCTGTTGTTAGAAAAATACTGTCTTGCTTTAGTAGCCTCAATCTAGACATTTAGTAAATATTATTTCTCATCTTTAATGTGGCATCCCACCTTCAACCCATTGCAACAAGCCAAACTCTTATAAGATATTAAGAGTAAAGAGAAATTAGTATATGCAGAAAAAAATTTTAAATTTTGAATTTAAGTATTTATTATTTCAGTTTAAGATCAGTTATGCATGTTAAATGGAATCAGTTTACTCATTTTATGAAATAGACTTTAGCATTCAGTCTTCAACAAGAAGTAATTTATATCATAACATTTAACATCAGTTATTTCAGTTTCAAAACTAGTTCATTAAGCATAAAAAGAAAGACAATTCAAAGTAAGAAGGAGTCACAATTATTCATGTAGAATATTAATAAACAAAAAAAAGATTAAATGAAGATTTAAAACGAAGGAAACAAAAGGATTTAACAATGGAAAAATGTGTGAAGAGGAGAAGGCTGTTTTTTCTTACTCAGAACTATTAAAAGTTACACCAATTGAAGCCAATCAGATGATGATGACATTGTTTTGGACAAATAAGAGTGTAATAAAAAAAAGTACATGACATTGTTGTCATTATGATACTTATTTGGAATATACAAATTGAATACTAAACACTTAAGCAGTAACTTAGGGTGGGAGAAAACAGAAAAAACTGTTTAAAAATTAATAGTTTACCTTCACTATGAAGAGATTTTGTACATCAAGCAAAATGTAAGTTACTACCCTTTGGCAACTGTGATAACTGATGTAGGTATAATGATACGATTAGATACATTATCAATTCATCTCACACAGTGCATATCATTACAGTTTGTAATTAAACAAGAAGTCCTGTTACTAACTGGTATCATCTCAGTGACTAACACGTCTACAACATCCAAAGCTACTGTTTTAAAGTATCATTCTCTTTGGATTCAAATATTAATAAAAACATTAATAAACCTCACTTATTAATCATACAATTTTCCTAACTTCACTATAAATACTTATACTAGAAACATCAAAAGTTGGTTTTAAGGCTAAATTTTATAACAAAGTGAGTTCTCATACAGCTTAGAGATTCATTTCCAATCCATATTACTTTGTTTGTCTTACTTTCACATAGGCAATCTGTCACCACACTAGCATTATTTGGTACGACCTTTATTGTGAACAGGATATTAATATTATTTTACTTAGTGTCAGAAGTTTTAGGATTAACTGCTTTTGCATTCTTGAATCTGAAATATGGTGCTTATCCTCATAGGGAAGTTACCAGCACCTGAAAATCTCATTTACTTGCCTGGACTTCGTGGACAAGAAGGGGAGCCTGGAATAGATGGAGAAAAAGGTGATATTGGTCCACGAGGACGACCTGGATTAGATGGTATTCCTGGTTTAGAAGGTTTACCTGGAAAAGATGGACTCCCTGGAGCACCAGGTCCTAGAGGTAAATTACCTGGGTTAAATGTATTTTCTGTAAAATCGGTATTTGGATATACATGTGTCTACTACACATTACTTGACACATACACACACAATGATTTACTAGATTTCTTGAAGGTGAGCATTTTCCTATTTGAGACTTCCTGACTTTATTAATTTTATAGAAAACCAAACGTGAAGTTATTAGGTCGTCAAGAAATTAATGTCGCTTTTTTTAGATGAAAAAACCCGAACAGTTTACATATCAAAACAAAACATTTATTAAATGAAATAGTCTTCTTTTTATCGATAATGCTTTTCAGTCTTACAATCAGGTTGTTAATGCCCTGATTAAAGAAATCACTTGGCTATGAAGCAAAAAACATGTCAATGTCCTCCTCTTTAACACCTTCCACATTTGCAAACGTTTTCTTATTAAGATGGTGTTGTAGCAAATGGAAAAGATGGTAATCTGATGGTGCCATATCTGGAAAATATGGTGGTGGTGGGGGACTTCCCAACCCAATTCGATAATCTTGTGTTGCGCCAAACGTACCACATGTGGATATGCATTGTTGTGGAGAAGAAAAACACCTTTCCGATTGACGAGTGGAGGGCATTTCTGATGAAGGGCTTGATTTAAACATTCCCACTGTTGACTATAGATCTCTGCATTGACAGTTCAATGTGGATTGAGGAGTTTGAAATGATTTACTCCCTTGATGTCCCACCAAATGCAAAGCATCATTTTCTGCAGATGGAATTCAGGTTTTTGGGTCGGAAGTGGTTTTGTCTAGGACTGAGCCATTGTTTTTGGAGTTTAATATTCACTTAGATAATCCATTTTTCCTCAATGGTGCCAATTCTGTCCAAAAGTGGTTCAAACGCATTGCACGCCAAAAGAGACAAAATAACATTGGAAACAATGATCATCGGAGAGGTCGTGAGGCAAACAAACACCTCTTTATGGAGTTTTCCCATATTCCTTAGATGTTTATGTATTGTTCTTGAGAGACATGCAATTTCAGTGCCATTTCACGAGTGTGTTGCTTTGGGTTAGACTCAACAAGCATCTTCAGAGCATCAATATCAATTCCAACATTTTGGCCTCAGCCATCACAGTTTTTAAGGCTAAAGTCACATGAAAACAATTTGCTGAACCATCGTTGGCACTTACGAACATTCAAAACATTTCCATAAACTTCTTTGTAGCTACAGAGGTGTTGTTTCCCTTCTTGCATTCAAACAGCATTACATGCCATATATGTGTCTCATCGTGTACCATCACTATAAGGGATTAGAATACACTAAACTTTACACATTATATAGGCTACACTAAGGTGACATTTAGGTGGTTATTTTAACTATTATACGTGATGTAAGTTTTTGGGGAATGGTTAATGTGTTCTAAAATGCGACATTAATTTCTTGATGACCTAATAGTTTTTTCACTTAGAAACATAATTATGTTTAGTTGTTTTTTTGTTATTTATCTGTTTTTTAATTGTGCTTTAACTCTTTATATTTATTCTATAAGTAAATTCATATTTAAAATTTTTTATGGTGTATTTTTAGGACTAACTGGACCACGTGGAGAGAAAGGAGACCAAGGGCCAATAGGTTTCCCAGGAGATCCAGGGCCACTTGGTCAGGCTGGATTCCCAGGAGCACCTGGTTTAGATGGTTAGTTGAGTAAAACTGTTATTGAAAACAACCAAACATAATACTTTGATATACATTTGAACTACTCCCTTGTTTTTTTATATACTGTCAAAATCTTTTATTACCACAAAGATTAATTATTTTTTCTATCTTAATGATAAAACAATAAGTTAAAGTATTCATTTATCAAGTGTACCTTAGTGACAATGTTTGTACCTTAGGGCTCAATATATAAAATTTATGTTGTTTTTAAGTCATTAAATGGTGGATAAAAAGTATTATAGAAGGAAGAGCAGTTTAGAAAATACAGTTTAATAAAGATATATTATAAACATGCTACTTTATTTCATTTTCTTTAGGACCAAAAGGAGATAAAGGTCTTCCTGGAATTGGACCACCTGGTCAGCCTGGTATCCAAGGGCCTCTTGGTCCAAAAGGAGATAGAGGTTATCCTGGATCTCCAGGTCCAAAAGGTAATTTTTTTTTATATTGATGTTTATTACAATTTGTTCACTTAAACTTACACTTAAAAGTTTATTAAAAAGTTCTGTTATAATGTGTTTTTATTTTAACCATAATTATAGTTTGGATTTCCTATGGTCACTTATTGCAGGTGATCAAGGGTTGCCAGGAGTTCCTGGTGCCAAAGGTGAACCTGGACCACCAGGACTAAATGGACTTGATGGACTTCGAGGAGATAAAGGAGAGCCAGCCAGAGAGGGACAGCCAGGTTTACTGGGCCTCGTGGAGAACCTGGCCAAGATGGAATAAAAGGTTTGAATGTTCAAGTTCATATGTCTTTATGGTATGGTTATATTTTTGTAAAGTTAAACACATGAATTAAAGAAGTTGACCTTAATATAACTTTTGATCATTTCATTCTTTACATTTGTAACTTAAGGTGACCATATTTGTGGCAACACAAAAAAAAATTATACTCACCAGCAGAATTCCTGATGTTGATGGCATAAAAATGCTCCAATTATTGACTGTATTTCTCTGATGAATGTATCTGTTTCAGAATTCCCATATTCTTGGTCAGTTTGTTGAAGACTTTAAGACAGGGTAGAGTGAATTCTGTTTCGACAATGAGAAGGGCTTTGACAGTTTCAATCTTTTATCTAGATTTTTCTGCTGTCCAAAGGTCATTCATGACAGAAAATAGAAAAGACCCTCTCCACTGGAGCACTACTGCCATGGAGGCAAAGGATAAGCTCAGCCAGTTTTTTAAGTTTACATGTGGTACTAAGGATTCTCTGAAATGCCTGATTGTTGCATCCCAACTGTCACATATAGTGATTGTTGAAGTTTTAGCATTCCATTCACACAGCTTACCTGTTTAAAAACTCATTTAGAAATATTATTGCATCAAACAGTGCATCTTCATCAATTGTGAAATTAGGGCATATCTTCTGCAGTAATTTCACTGCCACGTTAAGGTAGGACTGGCATGTCACAAACCCTACTTCTAGGACTTTAAGCAATTTTTTTCACTAAAACAGGCATAAAGTGTTTTTCACAACTTGTAGCCAGTTTCTTTTCCAGACTGTTTAAAATGTCAGCAGACCCTACTGCATAATGATCCTCTCCTTCTAGTGATTTGATTGTGTCATGAAAACGGGTCAAGTTTGCCTGAATAAATGTGAGCCACAGTTTAGCACTTGGGTGCTCAAATATTTTGCAGAGAACTACTGGACACTTCTAACACAAAAAATTATTTCAATGGCTCATAAAATTCTAGCATTTTCTTTAAAGTTGGTGACATCAATAGCCATTTGACAATACTATATCTCAGTATATTGTTGCATCAGCAAGGTCAAGTTACTAGTATCACACCACCTCTTTCTAGAAATATCCTGTTCCTTCAAGAATGCCCTAGCATTTACTAGATATGTGTTAGTCTTGTATATATAAGACGTTCACAACGTGACGGGACGACTGTGTGATGAGTAATTGAATGTATGCGGATAAAATATTGTTGGCCACATGAGACGTGAGTTATAACGTTTGTTTTAGCGCGACTGTTGAAATTAAGTGTATCGCAAAGTTATATTCAGAAAGAATAAACCAGTTTTATTAAGAAAGGACTTGTGTCGCTAAAGTTTTGTCGGAACGAAGTTACGGAAAATTAATTAACAAATGGAGACGTAACAATATTTTGATATTCTTGCACAGTATACTCACAAAAGCTTTTCAGTCTTTCAATGCAAACAGTATAGATATGAAAAATATCCAAAGATCTTGATTAGAATACTCTCAACGTCTACTGAAATTTTGTCTACTGCAATTTGGGCACAGTTGTGCACAATATGAGCAGGGTATCCAAGGTTATTCACATTTCTTTTTAAGAATTCTTGACTCTTGTGTGCACATTTTATCTACCTTCTTTGTGTAGACTGCCAACGTTTGCATTTGAATTATCTACTGAGAATGCCACAACCTTATTTTCAAGTCAATACTTCTTGATAACTTCTAGTATCTCTGATGCAGTAGCTTTTACTGACTCTTTTTTAAGCTTAACAAAATCCAGTAATTGTGTTTGCACAGACAAGCTTCCATCATAACCCTTGAAATAGTTTACCAAGGCAGGAAGCAGTTTTACCTGTCCATGATTTGATGCATATTCAACATCTTTCAGGTCATTAGTTAGTTTTTCATTTGCCCATGTAGCCAAAACTTTTGTAACTATTGTTTCATACTTTTTCCATGCACAGGAAAATATGGGGTTGCTGAATTTTTTTATTTAAGTTAGTAATACATTCCATCGACCTGAAATTGTGATTATGTCTGACAGTATGATATGCGAAAATAACTTCTTGGGCAGCAAGATCATACTTATTCTGTGTAGGTTCAACTTTTCAAAAGAAATCAGTTACAGAACTTGAAGTGGCACAGACTGTTAGAGCAGCTTCATGTGTACTAGCACAGACTGTAATAGCAACTTCATGTTTACTGACACCTTCGTGATTTTTTATAGATGTCCTACCTCCACTGGAAATTGAAAATATGGAATAGGGAATAGCATATTGAACATAAGACAGATGTCTCTTGCAGTTGGTTGTAAATAAGGAAAATCTTTAGAAGCTGGTTATTAAAGAACCATTTCCTTTTCTTCAACAGTGCCATTTTACTTCACCTGCAACATTCTTCACCATAGTCTAACAGAAGCAGAAGCCATAAAATGTTACATGGCATGCAGTTCACTTTGTAGCTTTGATAACCATTACTCAGAATTTGGTGGTTTTTAATAAAAGTAATGATAATAAAATAAATTTTAGGATGATTTTTGTGAATTGGTAACAGTTTTAGAGACATTGTTTGGCCAGGGGCTGACCTAAAATTTGGGTACGTAGGGTCACCCTGTTGTAACAGTACCTGCTGCAATGTTTATATTAAAAAACATATCATAGTATTGAAGATTTATGGTAAATTATTGAACTTATGTAGTAAACTTGTATTCTGCATATATAGGTGAAAGAGGATACCCTGGACCACCAGGACCACTTGGTCCACCTGGACCAAGAGGATCAAGGGGAGATAAAGGAGAACCAGGTCTTCCAGGGTTTCCTGGTATTGATGGAGAACCTGGGCAGGCTGGATTACCTGGAAGAGATGGACTTGATGGAAATCCTGGACAAAAAGGTTCTTCAACATTTCCTTAATATTTTAACAAATAAAATTTGAATGTTTGAAGAAGTAAAAATAAAATAGGAGTTTGAAATAAATTAGATAACTACTTTCCAAAATATATATATCTGATTTCTACAACTCTTTTTATTTACCTTTAACTAATTTTCATAAACAAATTCATAAAGGTATAAAGGTTTTAATCACACTAAAATGTGGTCGGCGAGGTAAGCCAAAAGTGGTGCATGCCACAAGTCACCGCCCAAGAGACCTTTCTTTCAATATCAAAACTCATCATATATGCTGCATTATGAAAAACAATTTTTTTTTATCATTCTGATCTGAAATCCATAGTGATGAAATTAAGAGAAATATAAAAAAGAGCAAAACATCTGCAATAATTTGTTATTTTTGAAATTAATATCAGGCCTTTTGGCTTTCCAGGTTTTAGCATTAAAAAGCATAACTTGAACCCAATGATCATATTTCACTTTGTACTAAAGTATCACTATTTAAGAAAAATTAAATAAAACTAGAAAATTTGCAATTTGTTTCCAAAACACCAATTTTTATTTAAAAATTAATTAAAAGTAACATTCAAATATATAATGATGTTTTACTTGATTATTGAAATTCATTTCATCAATAGTCTTTAACCAATAGAAGTAATCTGAATTATCTTTTAGAATTATTTTCAGGTTTTTTAAACAACTTATCATTTCATTAACCACAGGTGATAAGGGAAATGCAGGAAGTGTGGGATTCCCTGGTCAACCAGGAAATCCAGGAGTAGATGGCCAACCTGGAATTCCTGGACCTAAAGGAGATAGAGGATTTGATGGTGCACCTGGCAAAGAAGGTCCTCCAGGATTGAATGGAGAGAAAGGAGAGAGAGGATTTCCTGGACTTCCTGGTCTTAAAGGATCACCAGGTTTTGCATCAGCTAAAGGAGAGAAAGGTGAACCAGGAATACCTGGCGTAGAAGGACCACCAGGAAACCCCGGCTTACCAGGTGCATTATTTGTCTCTAAAGTGTGAATTTTTCAATGTGTACTTACAACTATTTTAATTTGGAATTTTAGACATTATCTTAGGCAATTGACATACAAAACTAAATCTGAAAATTTGATGAATATCAGGAAAAGTGTTATTTAAAAACAGGCATTTTCCCTCTTTTTACACTTGAATACTCTTTTTTTATATATGTATGTGTGTGTGAAATAATACTGTAAGTATTCTCAAAACATTAAGTTTGTATAGTTTCTGTTATTAAGGTGATGTTTCTTGTAGTTTTTTATAATATTCATAAAGACTATTAATATCAGAATCAACATTTTGTTTGTTTTATACCAAATTATCAGGGTAAGTAATAGATTTGGTTATTTTGTTTTAAAAATTTCTTACCTTTAATTGTCAACAGTAGTAATGTAAATAATAGTTCCCACCTAGTTGTTATTGACAGTGCTACAGGACATGATGTGCTTGCAATATCTGTCTCTAAATAGTTAGCAGTATTTGAAGAACGGAAAATAATTTGTTTTATACAAAGAATTGAACTGTATTGCACAACTTTAAACACACAGGTCTAGATGGTCTACCAGGTGAACAAGGTGATGCAGGAATACCTGGAAGAGGACTTCCTGGACCACCTGGGTCTAAAGGTGACAGAGGTTTAGAAGGTCCTCCTGGCTATCCTGGACAACCTGGTGAAAAGGGTGCTGATGGATTACCTGGATTTAATGGCATGAAAGGAGAGAGAGTGAGTGAGAATGAAAATACTAAACTTAATTGAATTTTTTTAATATTCTAGAAACACTAATACCATTTTACTGCTGTTTATTGTTTCTGTCCTAAGACCATTTAATGAATATTTCACTATTGTTTCTAAATTGATATCATTCTGTCACCATTTTTTTTATAATTAAATAATAACTTTTTCCACCATCATTTCACTTCAAATTCAGCCAACCACTGTCTCTGTATTGTTTACAATTAATTCATTGTTTACTTACTGTTTCATCATATCATTTTATTACTATCTTTCAATGTCTGTGGTTTGCTCTCATTTCATAACTTGATATGAATTTTGTTTGTGATTAGACAAAAATAGTTTTGGGCTATATGAGCTTTCATTAATCCATCTAATGAAGATGGTGATAAAGAACTTAAATCAAAGAAACTTTAAATTTCATTTGTTGTAATCAGGGGAAAAGAGTATGAATCTGTCATCATTTCTAGCTAGGTTTAGTATTTTGATATTGTGAACTTGCAAAAATAAATATTGAATGTGAGAGAAAAAAATTTTAATTTTGTTTTTTCATGAATGTGCTCATGTTATGAATTTTAAATAAAATACATTTCATAATCTTTCGTATCTAAAACTGACTTGTCACTATTTCAATTGCTACTACAAACCTGCAGGGCTGTAACTAACACTGAAGCAGATCAGGCAATTTCCTCATATGAAATTTTGTAGAGCAAAGCATTAGTGTTTTATATTATGTCTTTTTTTTCCTCAATAAAATAACTAATATTCTTTAGAAACTTTTCCAAAATGTTTACATGTAAAATTTTATACTACAAATAATAAATCATTACATATTCATCCTGAATGTAGCTTGTACCACATTTTAGGTTACCAGCATATGAAAGTAATTAAAGGGTTAGATTGCCAAATATAAATTTATACAACACAGGTTTTCTGTAAGACTACAAAAGACAGTATGATTTTCTATTACGTGATGTTGCAAAATACATCAGAATAGTTCAAAATTCATGAAACAAATTACATTTTGTGGTGTTCCTTGTGTAATTTTTCATAATAAATAAAGGTTGCCAAGAATATTGTTAATTCATTTCATAGTTTCAAACAGTTTATCAATGCTATCACCCAAAACAGAAGTCTATTTTACAATACCACTGGTTGATTCTAATAACTGAAAAATGAAGCCATTTTTCACTATGGGGATTGATCATCATGGAGTTACTGGGGGAATTAGGCACACACACACACACACACACACACACACACACCCTCACCTCATATGACTTTAGACTCTAGTCATGGCCTTGACCTAAATCCAGTACATTACTAATGCTGTTTAACCATTGTTAGTTACCAAAACCATTCCATTACTGTTTTAACTACTACTTTTTAATTCTAAGCCATTTCAACTTCATGTAGTTATTCACCTTTATCCAAAACTGTTATAGTTTTCATTATCTAATGGCTGAATTCTGAAACAGTATAGATACTATTATTAACTTGAAAATATTCCAGCATAGAACTTTTTTTGAAGGTCATGATCAACAGGTGGATCAATTGTTAAAATAGATTTATAATGAACAATCAGTTAGAAAGTTTCTTTGTTGGAGATGATGTATCTTCTTTGTAGACTGTTGTAGGGTAACCAAAATGGAGAGTTATTATGTAATGTTGATTTGATTGAGTGGAGATGGGTTAATTCTTGATTGTGTTGATTGGATTTATCAATAAGGATTGTGACTGACTGATTTTTGAAGAATTTAATCCATACATGGCTGATCTTAGTTCTCAAGATGGTTAATGTACTTACATGTGGATAGGCTATTGATTGTTTTGTTTGATTATCAGGGCATAAAGAAATGGAAAGCTTCTATTTTCTTCAGACTTGATCACAAATTTGGTATCATGATGTATGAAGAAGGCATTAATGAGTTCTTTTTTATGTGAAGAAGATCCATGAAAGTGTATCAGACATTGTCTTTAATGAAGAAACTTTCCAGCATAATGTCTATTATAATTCCATTGTACTACTATAGAATAATTTATATACTGTTCTTAACCTGAAAACATTCCATCACAGTATATTAGTATATATTGATCTGAAACTGAAACTATTCAAACACAGACTGTATGCTGTTTTTAACCTGAAACCATTCCATCACACAAAGTTTGTATACTGTTCTTAAAGTGAAATAATTCCAGCACAGTTTAAATATTTAAATACTGTTCTTAAATTTAAACCATTACAACATGCTTTATGTACAGTTCTTAACCTGAAACCATTCCAATACAGCCTGTATATTGTTTTAACCTGAAACCATTCCAGCATAGTTTATATACTGTTCTTAAACTGAAATCATTTTACTACAATTTGTATATATATCATAAGACAATAATGCATCGTCAACAATGGATATGACAAATGAAATGTGGTTGAAATACTGTTATTATACACTCTTCTGATTCTTGAAACTCCCTAAGGTACTAAATAAAGAATGTAGTGTTTGAACATTTAATAAGCCTACTACTACTAATGTCTTGTGTCAAGTATGATTGTAATAATTTTTTTCCAGCCTTTAAAAGGCACACAGCATAACAACTGTTGTTGTATGAAATAACTTATATAAATAGTGTTTGGACTATTACTGTATTTGTTGTATTCTCAAATAGCCTAAGCTGCTCTGAATTGAGCAAAACATATCATCAGCAATGGATTTCACAAATATTGTGTGTTTGGAATACTGTTATTATACATTCTTCTAATTCTTGAAAATCCCTAAGGAACTAGATATAGAAAGTAATTTTTTAAAATATAGTAGGCATAATACTAATGTCTTCTGACAAGACTAATTTGTGTATTGTTCTAAATCTGAAAACATTCAATCACTGGGTAAATGATATCTCAAATTTAAACCATCACACTGCAATTTTCATGAAACTTTTACTGAAACTTTTCTGTCACAGTATAAATGATATTCCTTAATCTGAAACTGTTGCACCATTGTTTAATTATTAGCCATTACTACCCCCACTCACCCACCTGCATAAGCTAACTACTTTCTTATTATGTTAGTTTGGTTTCTTAGTTACATGACTTTTCAACTGTCACATACTTTTTTTCTAAGTGGTGTACAGATAAATAGCCTGAAAAGATATCATTTGTATCATGTTTTATTCCTTAACTTAAAGTAGTCTTAGTAAAGAACTATAAGTTAAATCTATAGCATTGTAAAACAAATCATTAGATACTTGAAGTGTTAAAATGACATATTACTGAGAAACTTTAACCTCAACTTCTCTAAACTATTGTAAGCTTGCAATCAAATAAACCATATAGGAAATAAAGCCAAAAAGAAACTTAAATGATAGAATATGTGTTAGAAACTGTGTTAAAGAAAAATGTCCTTTAACATACCATTTATGTTTGGTTACATTAGGGGCAAGCTGGAGAACCAGGACCTCCTGGAACATCTGGCTTAGATGGGTTAGATGGAGCACCTGGTGAACCAGGAAGTGATGGCATACCAGGACTACCAGGAGATAAGGGTGAACCTGGGGAACAAGGGATTAGCGGATTCCCAGGAGTTAAGGGAGACATTGGTACAGCAGGAAGACCAGGCTTACCTGGGTTTGAAGGTTTGAAAGGTGATAAAGGTGAACCAGGCATACCTGGACTGCCAGGTAAGTGAAAAGTTCAAACATTTTGTAGTTATTTATAAGTACCTTGGTGAACAAATGAATGAAAGTATATACATGAAGTTAAATAGTGTAGATTTTTTTAAACCAAAAATTTCGTCTCATTTTTACAAGTTAATATCCAAAGCTGGCAAACTATCTTAACAAAATGGAAATGATATAGCATTATTCATATGATTAAAGAAAATCTAATTGTGCTATTACATAACTTAAATAACTCATCGAATATTAATCAACTTATTTCATGGCATTAACTTCTCCTAAACAAAAACTGATGTATATGAACTATATCCCCATATGCTAACTGATGTTGCAGTAAACAACTAATTTGATTGTGTTTCTGTAGGCAAACTAACTCAAAGACTTAATGAAATAGCAATTAATTGGTTTGAAGATATTTCACTGGACTACTGAAACATAATTTTACACAAATCAACTCCTTTTAGGACATTTTTTTATAAACTTAACAAAAGTAACTTGAATTGACAATTTCTTTCTGTACTAACTTATAAAAAAAGAACAGATATAAAATTAATCAAGTAGTTCAATGGTATCTCTACAATAACATAAGAAACTGATTTATCATCAACAACTGGTTTAAGGATATGTACTTGAGGTAATTTCTTATAAAGAACTTATAGCATCAGTCAACTGGTCTGAGAGTATTTCCTTCGACTGACTTAACATGTAATGCTCGGAGATGGCTTGAATGGGTAATGAAGAAACTTTAATATAAGTTTAACATAACAGCAAATGTACAACGTTTTGACAAGGTCTTGTCATCATCAGGTATAAGTAGTTTACACTGACACAGATATATATACAGCATGCAACAAAGAGATCACATGACCAGATATTGTTGCACGACTTAGAAGAGATATCTTGGCACCCCAAGGTGTTAGTTTAGAGTAGGATTGTTTTGTTCAATTAAGATGGATTCCTTGATGTTTTGCTTGTTTATGTTTGATTCTTTGTTTAAAATTACTGTGTTTATAATAGATACACTATGGTTTTTTGTTCCATATTGTATATATATATATCTGTATCAGTGTAAACTACTTGTACGTGATGATGAAAAAAACCTTGTTAAAACGGTGTACATTTGCTGTTATGTTAAACTTATATTAAAGTTTTTCTTCTTTACCCATTCAAGCCGTCTCCAAGCATTATTAGTCTCATCGAATTTGACTTAACATATAAGCTTGATGTAGCATCAGTCAGCTGATATAAGAGAGTTTTTGGATAAACCAATTCTTCAGTTACTTGATCTCCACAAAATCTAGAGGTTCAAGGATTTAGTATGTGGAAGGACAAATAAAGTGATTTGTTACAGGTGGATTGAAAAAGACAAGATACTCTATTGAAGTCCAAGTAAAATATCAAAAAAGAAGTTCTGAATACCAAAGAAAAATAAAGGAAGACTGATTGGATAGGATTAGGAAAACTATGCTGTGAAGAAGTAAAATATTCTGTACTTAAATGAAAACACAAATTGAAATAAACTTGACTTGAAAATAAAATAGCCTTCATGATCAACATCAGATAGAAAAGGGTATAGTAAAACAGAGGTCAGACTTCATTATCATGTCTTGACACTCTCAAACATAAAATGAGCTATTCTCATCAGAATTGGCCGGGCATGGCCAGGTGGTTAGGGCGCTTGACTCGCAATCTGCAGTTTGGGGGTTCGAATCTCTGTCCCACCAAACATGCTCACCCTTTCAGCCATTATGGGCATTATAATGTGTTGGTAAAAGAGTACCCCAAGAGTAGGTGGTAGGTGGTGATGACTAGTTGCCTTCCCTCTAGTCTTA